GCCTATTCATGAGATATCAATCAGTCACACACACACACACACATGCTCTGCCCCAAATCTGGGGTCCGAGTGATGTAACACGAGTCAGAATAGACAGCAGATAGCGTCCACTGGCGCTGAAACAGCTGATTCAGAGAAAGCCACAGTCTGACCTCCCCCCCTAGACAAAACACAGGCACAGCCTGACAGGATGGAGGCTGATTGGATGGTGTATGGAAAAAACAACATGGCCCAAAGTACATTAGCTTCACCGCATTTTATTTTTGGAGGGCAGTAGTGGATTCAGACACACAGCGGCTAAACGATATTGATTTCACTCATGAAGTGGTCAAAGGTGAAGCACACACTGAAATGTTGGGCAGTGTGTAGTGTGATCACATCTCGCTCGTACGTACCAAAAGGGCAAGATGCACCAGAACGCCCTCAGTTTGAGTTCATATCAAGCCACTGCAAGTAATAAGGTTTGAAAAGCTCGAAATCGAATGCAATGTGATGTTTGTAATGGTATAGCTTGGATATTTATGTAAATGAACCAGTATCAAAACATGTAATTTGTCAACAGACCTCTTCCTGGACACAGTCATCATTATATCTGCTGTATATAGAGAATAGACAGACTCAAACAACTATCATGTGCAGCACTAATAGTTTCTTAAACACTTGAATGAAATGACTAATGATGGGACTCTTATCTGTAATCCTAGCTCATCTTTCATAGGTCATCTAATGTGCTTGACTGCTCTTGGCTCTTCACTGCCTAATAGCCCATGGAAAACGGTTTGGATTTGATTTTTTTTTTTTTTTTTTGGTTCATTGTCTTTATGTGTACAACCAGCAGTCCTGTTCTTACAAATGGAAACAGACTAACATATACGGTATTTTCAAAACAGGTTTGTATCCACCATATATAACTGAGCTCTTATACCTGTGATATATATATATATATATATATATATAGTGTTATTATATTGTTATTATATTATTATTAATAAAATATTATATTATTATTGTTATTATTTATTTTTTTTTTTTTTGCTATTTCAAAGTAAGGAACAAATGGCAGTGTGGGGAATGTCACAGAGTGCCTAATAGTTCAAAGTCCATGCCTTGTTAATAACTATATTTTCATAAATGTGGCCTCAAAATAATGCGGCAACCTTTGTATTTTAATATAAATTATCATACTGTAACAATTAGAAATGTACAACAAGAAATATATATATATATATATATATATATATATATATGTGTGTGTGTGTGTGTGTGTTATATATATTTTGTATGTATATATTTTTTTAATTAATTTGAACATAAATTATATATAGTAACATTTTACATGTTACAGTATTTATTAATCTTTGTTAATGTTAGATAATAAAAATACATCGGTTCATTGTTTGTTCATGTTAGTTCACAGTGCATTAACAAATGTTAACAAAAACAACCTTTGATTTTAATAAAGTATTAGTAAATCTTGAAATTAATATTAAGTTAGATTAATAAAAGTATTGTTCATTACAGTTTGTTAATTAATTAAGTGAATATTGTATGTGACAAATAAATATTGTTTGTGTGTATACAATACTTTAAAGTTATGTCATTATTTACACATCCATACACCACTGACAAATGACTCAAAAGACAGTGAATCTTCTTCTTTTGAACTTCCTCTGCATTTGCTTCTGTATTTCCACTGAATGAGAAACGCAGTGGAGAATCGCATGACTCCAGCAGGGTGTGACCAGAGATCTGTGAGAAGGTTGTTAACACGTTTACTATCCAAGGCCTCTCCCACACGCCCCCATATATAAACTCAGACACACACACACACACACACACACACAAAGGTTGCTTTTACACCTTCTTGTTTAATCATCTACTATTGCAAACAGCAACATATATGCCTCGAACTGTCCGAGTCTCTGACTTTTAGTTCAACTGGAGAAGGCAGTGTCAGGCATAAATATATATATATATATATATATATATATATATATATATATATATATATATATCTGTCATAAACCATAAGTAAATGGGTCAAATTTTAATGCAGAGGGAATTACTCAAAAATGTAGGAAGTAACACAAATGTTACGTTCTGTGGAAAACGGTTTTATAGTCTGTGTCAGCCTTGAACGCTTCAATAGCTTGCATTGAGAACATAAAAATGGAGAGTGATATTTTAAAGTTTGTAAGGATGTAGATTGTGATGTGTTTTGTGTGGTGATTTAATGTCAATGAGTGTTCTTACAGGGAAGGCCAACACCCATGCCTTACAATATGTCACCTGGTAATGAGTATTTGATCGCTTCATCATCATCATTCATCCGGCAACACTGATGTACAACACAAAGCAAACGAATCTCGCGATGATTGGTCTAGAAACATTGTTTGAAACAGCCCGATGAACCATGAGCAAATATCTAATATGAGTCTCTTCTGACCAATGGCAAACATGCTTCCTCTACCGTGTTAAAGCTGTCTAATCAAATGGAGATAATCTGATGGCATTGAATTACGAGTTTTTTTTTTTGTTTGTTTTGTTTTGTTTTTTTTGATAGAAAGGAAACTAGTTCAATTAGTATTATGGTATGGTAGTAGGCCTATTTATTTTACAGTGACCTTATTACACGTTACTGTCGCAATAACTAAATAAAGCATAATTCCATGCACCCTATGTTAATCAATATTACTCAGGTACTAAATGTTACACTTTAACACCTTAAAATAAAGTGTAATTGTTAAATAAATATGACAACTGAAAACGATATCTTTTCCCAAGAAATAAGAAGTTTACAAGCAATACATACGACAAAAACAAACATGCCTAATAATGATCAAAAAATGTAATAAAATATTGCCGCTAATAGCATAAGAGACTTTTGGAACGGACATTGTGTCTCTATTGTGTTCGTTGAATTGGTTTTACATTGTGGGGTCAAAGTACGCGGTGACAGCCTGATAAAGACTCTCTTTGTAGTGGCCTAGAATGTCATAAATTGGCTAGTATATGAAATTTCATATAGCCTAGGCAATAGCCGCCTGTGGGAAAGCACCCATTCCCGTAAACAATTGTACGACTGTGATTTCGATTTTTAACTTGTTTATTTCGATTGACAGTGATGTTGAATTTGCTTCAATTCAATAAACAGCATAGTGAAGTGATAATAACTGTGATATGTTTGTGACAACAGCGCACTATCCTGAAATCTCCCATGCTCGCAATATGACATGCATAAAATGCAAATATGTCTCGCTTTAGTTCACTTTAGCACAAGATATTATAACCTACGTATTTAGGGTAAACATAGGCCTAATTTTGCGTCTTTGTGTCTAATGAAAATAATAGCTAATCGCAATAAAAAATAATAAACTAATTTGTCAATAAACGTACTGATACGTAATAATAATGTAATAATAAACGATTTGTTCATAAGACTAGGCTACTATTTATTTTAATAATTTTATTTAGGCTAATAAACGTAGCGCTGCAAGAAGAGGAATTTGTTTGATCAGATTAGATCACATGCTATTCTATGGCATTAATTTCGTTTTCCTCTTGAAAACAGTTAATATCGGTCTATCTGAAAGAAAAGCCATGACGATCCGATCGCAGTGCGTCTTTGATGATCCCTCGTTTATTCGGAGACAGACACACATCATGTCAGACAGCAGATCATCTATTCACACGTGCTCGAATCTGTCTGGAAGCCGTAGACAGACACTAAAATCGCAAGTGACTGTGCAGAAATCTTTTTGTTTTTTATAGCACGCGCGCATTTTTTTTTTCATATAGCCTACGCAGACGAGAGCAATATTTAGTCTATTTAAATAATACTGACTATTAGGAATCATCCCTTTCGTATAATAAATGCATACATAAAACATTTTTTTAATTGTTGAAGAGTCAATAAAATGGCTTCAGATTCTTGTTTTTTGGCGTATTACTGTTCAAAAATTATGTTTCAATATAGGCTATTAATTATTGTTAATAATATATCAATATATAGGCGCAGTTGTGTTGCAAATAATACAATAATTCAGTGTTGGTTATCGAATAAACTGACCAACAAAAGAATCAGAGACCCTCTCGGCTTCTGAATGATTAATCCAATTGGCGTCCTCCAATACCTGATCAGGTCACAATACAATGTATATTCTGCCTGAATGAATTTTCATCTGTTCAAAGTGAAGCACTCAATAGTGCCTATTGCCCGCGCTGAGTGTTTGTGTAGGATCCTTTACTATCCTAAATGATGCCCCATCGTCTTAGATGAACTAATTAGCAACGAGCCCAATTTGCATAGCATAGAAAAGGCTCAACATCAAAACAAATAGAAAAGTGATTTCATCACTCTGTTTGCGTGATTTCCCTCTCAGTACTAAATAATATTTCATAACACAATTATAGGCTAGGCCTACAACTATAAAATATTATTCATCAGTTACGTTAACTGGGTATTAAAAGGTTTTTTTTTTTTCTCTTAAATACTTACCTTTACTAACGTTTTAAAGCCACTTAGCCTAATCGGTTTAATGCGAATCGGAAAACTAAGACTGATTACCTCGTCTGCTAGTTATTTTCTTAATATAAGTTTATTCAACTGGTATCAAGTTTAAATAAAGATGTTAATGATCGAAAAGGCATTTTGCTGCTCGCTCGCATTTTTAGACTGCAATTTATATAGGCTATAAGCTTGGAAGGAGCCTATACGCTAATTATTAAATTATTATTATTAAAGAAGTGTTTTAAATTACACCGATCATGTCGGAAAATTTATTAATTTAATAGCCTACATTTAACTAACCCTAACCCTAACCCTTTCAGGGAATTTTTCAATAAATATAGGCTATTTGCTTGTCCGCTAAAGCAATTAAACACGTCCCTTCCCTTTGTGAAAATGTAGTCAGAATAATAAGACTTGCATTTTACATTCGATATCAAGGACATGCACACTAAGTAAGGTGTAAAGTGAAGCGCAGCACCCCTATCGAGCAGATGTGTTTGCTCAAGCTGGAGTCCAATCACAGGCTCGGAGCGCGCAAGGCGCCTCCTCTCTTAAACATCGTCACGAGTGAACAGAAAACTTTCATTCCTAATAGTTCTCCAAGTCCTGCGACCACAGAACCGCTGGATCCTGCGAACACCAACTTATGGCAAACCACCAATAGGTCAGTGGTGTCTTTTTCTTCCCTTATCCGAGTCTTGATTATAAATTTCCTTCCCAGCTCTTGCCTTGGTGCTGAGTTCGGTGCCAGCCGAGGAGTCTAAATCATTTTGGGATTTATTTTCATCCTGCCCCTCTCTCTCTATCTCTCTCTCTCTCTCCCTCTCTCTCTCCCTTATCTGTTGTGGGTCTTATCAAGTGGTTATCTCTTTTCTGCAAAGACATATTACGTTTTGTTTCCTATCTGTTTTTTTTGTAGTTTTTTTTTTTTTTTTTTTGTAATTATGATGAGGCTTCATCAAGTGGGAGGACGGATTTGCGACACGGATGGATTCAGATCGTCAGTGTAAAGCCCTGTATGGGGTGTGTATGTGCACGCGCGTTTGTTTTCCTGGAATTAAGTGAAGTGCGTGTTCGGTCATTCATGTCATCCAGATCAACTTTTAATTTTAGAATACTACAAGATGTCACAATAATCATGAATGATTTGAGTAAGTTTGTAGCTGCACCACTGTGTGCTTTCTGAAGTGAAACTGCATGTCTCCGAAAAAGTGAACATAATTGTATCATAATTCCAACCCCATAATTCATATTTAAGCGTTAAATAGCAATAAACATTTAGTTGGATATGTTTATTTACTTTATGCTTTGAGCTCATCTTAAATTATCTGACATTATTGTATATTTATATAGGCTATTGCGTTCTCGCAACCTTTAAAAAAAAGAAAAAAGAGAAGAAAAAAAAACATTTCCCATTACGCTCTAATTCCAACATTTTTATCTTCTCATTTTCAGTGCACTTTTACCTCTCCATTTTCCACACACTGTGAGATATAAAAGGGATCCTGGATGGACCTGGGTGATAACAGCTGGTCCATGGTCAAGCGCGAAGTGTCCAGCAGCAGCAGCCCAGGGTCTCCGGCTGAGCAGAGCTACCTGAACACTGACCGAAGGGACCGGCTGAGATCCCCGACGCCGACGCACCTGGACGCGGTGGGAACCCGTCGCGCCGAGGCCAGGCCCCTACACTCCTACGTTCACTTTGGGCATCCCAACAACGCCCTGCCCAATTCTGACGACGTTACACTCTTCACGGATTTAGACCAGGGCAACAAACTCATCATCTCAGGTGGACACCCCAGGGAGACGCATAAGGGAGGCTTAATTGTGGACCCTACTGACATGTATCAGACACTGGCCATCGCCGCGGCCCAGAGTCAGGCCGGTTATACCGACTCTCCATCGGCCAGTTACATGCACTCCAACCCTAATTCTCCCGTTTATGTGCCGACGTCTCGCGTTGGAACGATGATACCGAGTTTGTCCTACCTACAACCCGGGGTGTCTTCCCAGCCGAGCCACGCGGTAAGCAGTCATTCGGTTTGGTCACAGTCCGCACCGGAGAGCCCGTCCTACAGCACTGGAAGCCCGCATACCTCCAACCGTTTCCACTACTCCCCTAGTCCGCCTATGAATAACGGCACATCGAGGGATAACAACTACACTAACCCTCTGAATGTAAACGCTCGAGAGCAGTATCTTTCACGACCGATAAGTGGATCTTACACAAGTCCGTACCCTCCTTATGTGGCCCCGCAGCTCTCACAGTTACAGGCGGCGTGGCCCGCGGGGCCCTTCGAAAACTCCATGCTGCACTCCCTGCAGTCAAGAAGCGCGCCGCTGTCCCTCCGAGGGCCCAACGGAGGTAAGCTATAGCCATTCATTCATTTTCATATCAAAATTTATTTTCTGGCTGTGAAATTCAAAACTCAGGTTTCCCTCACATTTCTGGCATCTGTGAATAATCCAATTATTTTTTATACATTTCATTATTTTAAATGTTAAGGCACATTGTAGCTAATATGGCGCCAGTCTCACAGGTAGATCTTTATTTTATTTATTATTATTATTTTTTAAAACATTAACCATATTTCTGATGTTTGAATCTATAATAGCCTAATGTTTTATACAATGCCAGTATTTGTGTTCGTTGGCGACAGGTGAAAATATGAGCGATCGGACTCATTTTTGGGGGGAATTTAATTTAATTGCATCATTAAAGAAACGTTTGAAACACCAGTTGAAACTTTTAGCTATTGGATACTTGTGTGCAAAAATATTAACTTTTATTAAGACCTTCCAATCTTTTGTTCTGACTTCCTATTTGGGAGTTCAAGCCTTATAATTAGTACATATCAAAATATGTAATAGCTAGGCCTAATTTATGGGGGGGAAAAGGGAATGGACAAATTTACTAATTCTAACGTTTCAAATAGCTAACAACGCAATAAAACACCAGTGGTAGCCTAGCTAATTGTGTATAGATGACACTTTTAATAAGAACGTCATTGAAATTGACGTTTTTTTTATTTTATAAAATAATAAAAGGATCAACGAAGTTCTTAATTTGCAGCATTGCTTCTAATAGGCTATTCCTTATATAACGGTTCGTAAGTGCAAAATAATATAATTAATTGTAATTAGAATAAAATATTATAAAATAAATATTATAGGCTATTCCAGATTTCGTGTAAATTTTGAGTAATTTGGACTATAGGGTTACGGTTAGGTGGATTAGTTGCATGTAATTATGCATAATTTACTGTTCTTGCTATGTTAAAAAAAAAAAAAAAAAAAAAAACAATAGTCACACCTGTCATTAATGCTATTAGTCTGTTGCAATGTGTCAAGTCTGCGCAATTCATTTGGCGCACATTGAAGTTGATGGTGAATAGTGATGTTGACTGACGGGACGACCTGTCTGTGTGTTTAGATTTGCTGGACGACATGATGGAGAGCCGGGAGTGCGTCAACTGCGGCTCAATTTCCACCCCGCTGTGGAGACGCGACGGCACGGGTCACTTTCTCTGCAACGCCTGCGGTCTCTACAGCAAAATGAATGGACTCAGCCGACCATTAATTAAACCTCAGAAGCGTATGGTGAGCATCGTCTTGATGAGCTACTTAACCACTCAATTTCCTGCCTATTTATTTCAAACAATAGCCAGAGGTTATCTGGGAACATCTTCACAGGTCTACTCCCATAATAAACGCTATTTTTATTGGCTAGACAAGTTTGCAGGCATTACACGTGAAGCGTTTAGACTAAAAAAAATACAGTGTGCATTTAAAAAAAAAAATTATATAGCCTATATATTTAATATTTGTCTAATCGAAGGCGAAGCCCCTTTTCATTTTAATTGTTTATGCAATGCAATTGACTCAATAATATTGCGCATAGGTTGAATATCTGAAACATTAAATTAACAGCAGAAATTAATAACATAGCTAGATTTTTTTATTTGACATTTTAGATGAATACATACGAGAGGCTTGATTTTTAGTATGATCAATTAATTACAACGTGAATTGCTTTTGTCTCAGTCGTCTTCGAGGCGGATCGGCCTGTCATGCGCAAACTGCCAGACGAGCACGACGACACTGTGGCGCAGAAACGCGGACGGCGAGCCCGTGTGCAACGCTTGCGGACTTTACACAAAGTTACACGGGGTAGGCTATTATAGACTTTCCGTCTAAACAAAATTGGATACAATTGAAATACAACAATTTGATACTATTCAAATATACGTGATGCTACATGTGTATTTTACAATCTGAATTCCTGTGTTTTTTTTAGGTGCCTAGACCCCTTGCCATGAAGAAAGAAGGCATTCAGACAAGGAAAAGAAAACCTAAAACCCTGAACAAAACAAAGGGATCGTCTGGTATGTTAAGTAATACAAAATCAATTGTGTTATTCCACCATGCAAGTGCAGGTCATGACTTGTTAAAATAATTTCCAGGAAGTAGTTCTGTTCCCATGACTCCAACATCTTCATCGTCTTCTAATTCAGAGGAGTGCATTAAGAACAGTCCTTCATCTACGCAGGTGCCTGTAACATCAGTAAGTTTCATGCAGACTTATTTTTCCTTTTAAAAGGCGGCATTTGATGCAGCATTACAATGTTTCAAACCTTGCAGATGAAAAGTTGCAGTAACTCTTTATTTCGATAATCCACTTTAGACATTCAAATAACTATAATTAACTTTGCAACTACATATCAACTAGCAGTCATTAGAGTGTTAATAGACTGCTTAAAGGGACAGTTCACCCAAAATTTAAAACGATCCCACAATTCACTCGCCCTCAAGCCAAATGACTTTCTTCTTTCAGCCAAATACAATCAGAGTTATATTAAGAAATATCCTGGCTCTTCCAAGCTTTATAATGGGAGTGAATGGTAACTTGGATTTTAAAGCCCAAAAAAGCTCATCCATCCATCATAAAAATAATCCCTTTTGATAATGAACCATTTTTGAATGAAAAATATGAATATTTATAACCTTTAATAACTATAATCACTGGCTTTCGGTAACAGTCGTCCGCAAGTCTAGTTTCTGCAGAAGAGTGTCGCATCGCTTCACTTTATTAACCCATGGAGCTGAATGGATTACTTTTATGATGGATGGATGGATGCACTTTTTTTGGGCTTCAAAGTCCAAGTTACCATTCACTCCCATTATTAAGCTTGGAAGAGCCAGGATATTCCTTAAAGGGATACTCCACTTTTTTTGGAAATAGGCTCATTTTACAACTCCGCCAGAGTTAAACAGTTGGGTTTAACCATTTTCTAATCCATTTTCTGATATTTAGAACTAGAATATCAGTAACCAAACAGTTTTTGGTCCCATTGACTTCCATAGTATATATTATTTCCTACAATGGAAGTCAATGGGACCAGAAACTGTCTGGTTACTGATATTCTAGTTCTAAATATCAGAAAATCGACTGAATGGATTCGAAAATGGTAAAACCCAACTGTTTAACTCTGAGGGAGTGGTAAAATGAGCCTATTTCAAAAAAAAAAAAAAGTGAGTATCCCTTTAAAATAACTCTGATTGTGTTCAGCTGAAAGAAAAAAGTCATATACACCTAAGATGGCTAAGATGGTGAGTTGTAAACTATGGGATGATTTAATTTTTGGGTGGCTTAACCCTTTAATATCTGCTAACACTTTATTTTGATGCTCCCCAACAGACATTCGACTGACTATGAGTAACTTAGCATCTACATGTTAACCTATTCTCCCAACCCTAACACCTAACAGTCTACCAATACTCTAATGAGAGTTAGTTGACATGTAGTTGCAAATGAAAGTGGACTATCATTCTGGTGTTTGATGAATGATTCATAAAACTTGCAACATTTTGTGCTTTCAAGGCATTGTTCAAATAGACTATTTGAGTGGTATTGGCCTTTTGCTAACGCTCACTGGTTTGATCCAGGTCAACTCTTCGACGCTGCTGGGCCAAGTCGACGTCCAATGCACGACCGGCTCCATGGTGAAGTACCCCGGCCAGGAGAGCCTCTACACGAATGTAGGCCTGACGTCCACAGCTGACGTGGCAACCTCCGTGAGAGGGGACGCTTGGTGCCCCATGACCTTGGCCTAAACCCTGGCATTATGGGACGGGAGCCATTTGCTGTCCTTCAGCTCTCTAGAACATCGCTTTCGGCGTTGTACTTAAAATCTGGCAGGGTGTGGGGGTTGTCATCTGTTTTCGGTCTGTTCCAAATACTCCAGTTTTTGATTCACCCCGTGGAATACTGGACATCCATGATGGAGATTATCTATGAGGACAACACTTGAGAAAGAGAGAGAGAGTCGTCTTTAACATGCCTTTGGTACTTTCAGAGCACACCCTGCACCGTGAATGTTGCTTGGAGGAGTAAGTGGATCAAAAATCATTTTTCTTTTTTTTTTTTAAAGTAGATTTGTACATATTAATGCCAACGGATACTTCGCGCATCTGGAAAGACAAGGTTGTTGGTTGGATTGTGGTGATCTGATGAGAGAGAGAGAGAGAAGGTTGATCTTTCTGAAACTGGAATTGAAGATTAAGTGTCAAGGTGTTTTTATTGACAAATGCCAACATATTTATGAAGCTATCGTTGTTCAAATAATGCATATATTTGTCAATAAAGATAATGTCAAATAGAGTAGGACTGAAGCCTTGCCCTTCCTTTTAAATCTTTTTTATTTTGTTTGTTGCAGTGGACGTCGCTCACAAATCTGCACGTGAATTTTAAAAGAAAATGAGACAAAAAAAATAAATAAAGCTCTTATAAGATTGAACTGATTTGTGATGGTTTAACACAGGGTATCGAAGATCGCAGGAACTCAAATGAGACTTGCTCGGTTTTCCTAGAGATCGCTATCAAATTAATATGGTCTATTAAATCAAACAAAAAGTTTGGGAAGTGTGAACCTACATGGAGAAATCAGCAAAGCATAAATATAAATCTCTGTTTGAACAAACAGCACTCAGGATTTCTTTTCTGATGTGTTTTTTTTTTTTTTTTTTTTTTGTTACAACACAAAACTGCAAAAAAAGGTTTTGCTGCAGTGATTTTGGATGTATAAGACTACCTAACGGCATTGATGTGATATATCAATGCATTTTTCTTCTTTTTTTTTTTTTCACTGTCAGTGTGTGACACACCTCTGTGGTCACTACTTTAGCTGATGAAGGGACAATATTCAATCTGGATCTTGCTTTCACAATTTATTGAATGTTTTAGAGAGAGTAATGTGTGCCAGAATCAAGCAGTAGTGAAGGTTTCTTGTGAGTCGCCATTTGACATCATGACAGTACTAATTAATGATTTGAATTCACTCGCCTCGAGTGCTTTTGATTTACGGCCTCTGATCTGTTAAACAGTTACCCAGCTACAAGTTTCCCGTGTAAACATCTTATGGCTTTGAAATTGGGGATTAAAGGGGAAGAGCCTTTCTTCACACGATGATGGACAAGCCTTTTTTTTTTTGCGTCATAGGGATGCCGTGTGAAGGACACAAGAAACATTTCGCTATCGGTGTGATTCGCCACCTTTACAACCTTTACAATTATTTATTTCTGTAATGTAGTGTGTTTGTAAAAGGTGTATTGTATTTTAATTAACATGGTTGTGTTTTTTTTTTTTTTTTTTCAATTCCAAATTATTCTGATTAATCTGTTAAACACAGATTTATTGTTTTGGTATTGTCTTGAAAATATCCAAAGCATTTGTTGAGTTTGTGTTTTATCTCCTTTTTTTAAGTAGATTTTGAGGTTCAGACCTTCCATTTGTTATGAAATGGTTTTTCACATGAACCACTGGAACCACATAGTTTTGATAAATTTAATCAAAATGATTTTCCTATTTGTTATTGTCATCACCAGTCATAAAGCAAATAGTAAAATGTTCTTAAACCGATTGACTCTTCCTTGTGTTTTCCAGTGTGTTAAGAAGGATGTCATTGTTAATTTTTAGTTCATTAACACTGGAACAATAAATAACAGCCATGACTGAAGATATTTTTCTTTGAATTGTTTTAATTTAATGAAGTATTAATCCATATTGTTAAAACGACAACGCTTATTTTGCATTGATTTTTCGAGTCCCGTACTCAATTGTACTCATAGGCCAGATGTTTGCTCATGGGTCACGGATCTTTTTTTGTGTTTTGTTGGTACACTGAAGCGAATTAAAAACTTGAAGTTTGTATTTCAACAACAGAACTTTTCACGAATGTGTTTATTTATTTCGTTTTTTTTTTTTTTTGTTTGTTTCATTACAATTACCTTAATTGCATTTTAGCATTATCAGAAATGGTTTTGGGTCGACATGAACATCACAGATAAAGTTGTGCGTTTAACATTTGGAAGACTGCTTTAAACCAGAGCCCGGCCTAAATGAAGAATTGGTTTATGTGAACTTTGACATTTGAATGTGCTGATCTTTGCCTCAAGGTTGGACTTTGATTTACGACCGATTGATGACGCCTTGGCCCCAATAGATTGGAGGTCTCTGATGTAATTCCTTGTGATGCTGGTGAAACAAACCTGTTTTTGCTAGAAAGCATTGAAAGGAATCCCAGAACCAGTTCCTGTATTGTTTCTTTGTCATAAATGTCTCTTTTTTTGTAGTACATTCAATATAAATGTTCCTCTTGAAATCTTTCTTTGCATTGTTCACGTTTTGGTTTCATCTAAACCCATAAAATCTCTTTTACGACTGTAACTTTTTTTTAGAACGAGTTCCTTTTCCCATGTGTTGTTCTACCTTTCTGTTTGCCAATTGCGACACTGTCTATAACACCAGCCCAGACTAGCTTTTCCACAGAGCAAAAGTTGCTCCCTGCTGCCCTTTTGAACTACGTTTGCCCTCTTTGCTTCAGAGAGAAGTACCAGCCACAACATAAAGCGCAATAACTCAGAAACACACACCATTAATAACAGCTTTGGCACGGCCCAACAGAATTCACTTAGACTGCGCTAACGTCACATTACATTCCAGCTCCCCTCTCCTGTCACCTACCGTTCCAGTGTTGATTAAGATTTATCCTGATGCATTCTGGTTATCTGCCCTGGGTGTATGACATACTGCTATGAGGTTTATTGGGGGGCTGGGATCTGTGAAGGATTTCAGCGAATTCTTCTCTTCGTGATTTAAGGTTGAGGAGTGGCAGTCTTTGCCAAACCCCTCCACGCAAGCGCAGTTCTGTTGGTACAAGGTGGTATTGCATATATGACTTGTTTTTTATTTTATGCGTGGGCTACACAGCAGAGGTGAGAGCCATAGTGCCAGAACACTGCTTTGAAAAACAAAACTATTCTTTATGAGCCCTAAAAAGATAAATTTACCAAAAAAGCAACACTTCTTTCTCCTGCAAGGATCTTTTACAAGTATGTTTTGTCTATTACTCTGCACTGGTAGATTTTTCACTTGTTGTAAAACAAGTTAAAGTGAAAAGGCTCCCAGTGCAGATAGACAAAATAAACATAGATTTGATGCGCCGTCTATGAAAACCTTATATAATAAGTAATATAATATAATATAATATGCAGTTTTAAAAATTCGTTGACATTTTTACTGGAAAGCAAGTCAAAGAGTTTTGTTGTAATGTTTATTGGTATAAACACTTTATTTCGATGGTCCTCAACTTTGCAACCACATGTCAACTGACTCTCGTAGAGTGTTAGGTTAGGGAAAGGTGTTAGGATTCAGGTTAGTAAGTTGACATGTAGTTGCAAAGTTACAGTCAGAAATTTGTCCTCTGGCGGACCATCAAAAACAAAAAGTTAGCAGATATATTAAGCAAACAGTCTACGTATACTCTGAGAGTTAGTTGACATGTAGTTGCAAAGATACTTATAGTTAGAATGTCTACAGTGCACCTTTGAAATAAAGTGTTACAGTTTATATTATATTTAACAGCTTTGTTATTCATGGAATGATGCTTGGGGCACTTTGCAGGGTTATTTGGTTACAATTCGGTTGAGGCAGAATGTTAAAGGCCCACTGAAGTGCAGCTTTGGATGATGCGTTGACGTAATTTCCACTGGCGGGACATATTGAATGGCTCCTCCCCCTTTTTTAAATAGCCAATAGTGCTAATGAGCGTCACCTGTGCTATACACCAGTCTCGAGTCTAAAGGATAAAAGGAGGAGTGACAACAGTGAAGGATGAGAGAGGACCAGGCCTGGACTTTGCGTTTTTTTTATATTTGTGCAGCAGTCATCCTTGAGGGGCTGCCGCTTTACTTTTTTGTAGTTTGTTTATTTTTTGATTAAAGTTTTTTGTTACATTACTTCATCATTGTGCATCAGACATTGCCACCTTGTGGAATAAAGGTAAATTGCACTAATATGTTTATATATAAAATATACCAATTCGTACGAGTGATATTAAAAAGTGGCTAATTCGTACTAATTCGTACGACCTCACTCGTACGAATTCATATACGATTAGTCTAAACCCACGGGATGGGTAGGTTTAGGGGCGGGGTCAGGGGAAGTTCATTCGTACGAATTCATACGAATTGGCCAATTCGTAAAATATGTACGATTTAGCAAAATTGTACTAATTTGTACGAGTGAGGTCGTATGAATTGTTACGAATTAGCCACCTCATAAAAGTCGTGCGAAGATCGTGTGAGATCGGGTTGAATACGTACACTGTTACACACCTCGGGTCATTAGTGACCCTATACAAAAAATGAATGGGAAAACAGGCATTCTTTTATAATTGTATATATTTTTTTGTTATATTGTTTATAGTGAATTGATTAAAGAATACTAAGAATGTTGTTGTCTAACTTAATTTAAAAAAATGACTGAGGAAGAGGGTATAGTGAATGACGTCCTGGGTCCCTTAAGGTATGCTTTTAAGGGTTAACCCTAAATTACGCATTTTAATACTGTGTGGTCTAAAATGTACATTCAATACAACAGTAGGGTGCTTTCAATATATCAATCCCAAAGAATATTTCTACCCACAGCTAAGGACAGCTTCACAATACCAAACATGCTTAGAATATTTCCTTGTCTGTGACGTTTGGGACAAGACACTGAATTCCTAGAAATATATCCACTAACTTTAATAAAAGAGACACAACACACAACTGGGACGATCACCATCTTTTGAGTACTTATAGAAGAATAAGAAACACGCTGAGAATATGTTCCACATATGAATATTTGTATATGCCGCTTTAGGCAAAAATGGCTTTGTCCAATTGATTTATGATAGGTTTTGTTTCTGTAGAGCCTTTCAGATGTTACCCGGGGAACCAAATTTGAATTTAATTCAAACCTGAAAATGACATGATATTGCACTTTATATTGCACTATACTGCAGGTATGCAAATAACTGTGATAGGCTTCCATCTAATCCACAGTGAGTTCCACAGCCTGCTGTCCGGCACTGAACTCTGTATTTGGACAGTGAGTAAAAGGGTCAGTGTCACCCTCTCCTCTCTGGGGTGGAGTTGAAAGTCCAGCTTGTGCCAGAGTAAACATGGAGGAGGTCCCGGGACTAAGAGCTGGGAGCCTGAGGCTGTTTGAAAATGGCTAAAGAATGGTTTTCCCCTAGGGGGAGTCACCCAACGGATCTCAGTGAGGCACTGTCTGCGCCTACGGCCTCCGGAAGAGATGGGATCACTGACGCAGCCCTTGAGAGGATTTCTAGTCAAATTCAGAACAATTTCGAACTGATCTTTCCCTAAACAAACAGGCCTGACATTCTGGAAAAGGAAATCCTGAGGATATTTCCTCAGGAATATGTGTAACAAATTTCTGACTTTACGAATAAATGGATGACTCTAAGTTGCGCATGTACTATATGGTGACTTATGAAGCCACGAAAAGGAATTTCATAACAGATCCTCTTTGAGCCACTTCATTTTCACCAATATTATTGATTCGACTGCACTGGCTCTATTGGACGAGAAGTGATGTTATCAGTTTTCTCCAGAGCTGCTTTATAGATTAATTGAACTCATTCCATAATTGATGAACTTTACACAGTTATTGAACTGAACTGAATCAACACTGAACTGATTGTATTTTTAGAGCTGCTTTACAGCAGAATTCTGTTTGAATCATTGTTCAGTATTTAACACTGTAAAGCTGCTTTGAAACAAATTTATCGTATAACACAACCCGGTCTCATCCCAAATCGTCATATAACTGACGTTTTGGGACGTCTTTTGACCATACGTCAATATTCGCCTTTTTAGGGCCCCCTTAAACGTCGGTAGATGAGGTTATGGGATCCTAACTCTACCCCATACCTAAACTTAACCCTAAACCTAACCCGTCACCTAACTGACGTTAAAGGTAAAGCGTCAGTTGTATGACGGCCCGGGATCGCCATCTACCGACGTTTAAGGGGGCCCTAAAAAGGCGGATATTGACGTATGGTCAAAATACGTCCCAAAACGTCAGTTATATGACGATTTGGGATGAGACTGTGTTATATAACACGCTATAAATAAAGATTTGACTTGACTTGGCTCATTTCATTTCATTTTCAACCTGTCGGTGCTTTCTTTCTTACAAAAAATAAGATATTTTTTTATCTCAATGTTTTGCAATGGGGTCTAATGTTGTTTTGGACCCCATTGACTGTCTTTTTATATTCAAAAACTGGAAACATTCTTCAAAATAAATTGTATTATGCCCAGCAAAAGAAAAAGTCAACATGTTATTTCATTGTGCGACACTAAGGAAGATATTTCTTATCATAGACATGATTGGAATGTGAAATACATTTGAAAAGGAAAATAATTAGGCTATACGAATAACGAATATAGTCAAAATTCAGAAAATAAATAAATAAATAATTCGAATGTGTAGTTGAAATAAAGTAAAGTAAAAATGGAGGCCTCTGGGTCACATACTTCTGGGGAATTCCTGAGCCAGCCGAGCAACTGCTGTTAAAATGTTGTTGTTGACAGATTAGAGATTTCTCTGTGTACATTGGACGTCCTTGGTTATACCTACCAAATCTGATTTACTTGGTAATGAAGAAGCTTGATGAAACATATGGAAGCAGAAGAATGAATGTTTGAAGAAGGCGCAGGAAGCTGAGGCATTAGTTCTGTTTTTGTTTTTGCTGCTCCTCTCCAAATGAGGAATATGAGGAAGTCAAGGGGAAGGGCGAATCGGATTAGCGTAGAAAGAGCTAGGTACAACTGTGAAACATGAGGGAAGGGCAAAAGTACAGATCCTTCGGAAACATGTGCATTAGTTATAACTGACAACTGACTCCTGCATGGCCTCCAATAATGATCTGCAGGATATGACACTCACACTAGCACAAGCTCTGTTTGCGAGGGCAATTGCATATAGAATTTGTCCCATGAGAGACTGGCTAACCTTTCTGAAAAGCTCTTAATTTTAGAAAGTCACTTAATTGTAGAAAGTACTGTAGCTTTTTTGTAGTTTTCATTTTCTCACCACAGGGTGGGGTTAAAAAAAACCCCACTCTGCTCCCGTGGTCATTTTTATTTTAGGCAAACATGATAAGTTGCTATTACTGCTCATCTGGCAACTGAACTGTTGAGAATATTAGAGGGTGACATGGTCCCCCCATGCTTCATTCATATTTTTAATACTGTATATATGGTTAGATTTTGGACAGTTTTTTAAGTTAGCTGCTAGCAATGTTGGTCTTGTTTAGATCTTTAATCTAATAGGTTTATCAGTTAGTCTTTTGACATCCAATATGTGAAAATGAACACCAAAATATTTGTCAAATATGTTATGAACCATGATAAGCTGATAGAAGAGCAACTTTGACTGAAATAACCACTCGTTACAACCGAGGTATGCAGCAAAGCATTTGTGAAGCCACAACACGCACAACTTTGAGGCGGATGGGCTACAAAAGCAGAAGACCCCACCGGGTACCACTCATCTCCACTACAAATAGGAAAAAGAGGCTGCAATTTGCAAGACCTCAACAAAATTTGACGGTTGAAAAGTGGAAAAATGTTGCCTGGTCTGATGAGTTTCGATTTCTGTTGAGACATTCAGATGGTAGAGTCAGAATTTGGCGTAAACAGAATGAGAACATGGACCCATCATGCCTTGTTACCACTGTGCAGGCTGGTGGTGGTGGTGTAATGGTGTGAGGGATGTTTTCTCGGCACACTTTAAGCCCCTTAGT